GTGATCCAGTAGTAAGAACATGGGGTTTTTTGCTCTGTTCCTTGAATACTGGTCATAATAAAAGAAGCTAGCATTTCGTTCTAGTGTTACCTAATACCGAAACTCATAAAGAACACCAGCATGCTGTTTCTTTGATGCTTGCATAACAGCTGTTGTTTTCTTTGAAGTCTTTTACCTGATATTTGCCCAGGTAGCAACATTAATTGATAAAAAGATCTGCAAAGGCTCGGTTCTGTTAGCGCTCCGAAACATTTGCATAAAGAGGGGGGGAAAGATCGATGCATACATTACTCTATCAAGTATATTCTGCTTCTTAGACTGTGTCTGTGTGGGTGTGGTAGGTGTGTGTGTACATATGGATTGCATTTTTATTAAAGCCAGGCCATTATGTCCTAATGCAACAAATGTAGGAGCATCAGTAACATTCTAGTACTGACAGAACCACCACTATACAGATTGCAGAACTCCTGGGAAGCCATTTATAAATTACAGCTGGCAACCACCGAGGGGGAAAAAAAATTCTCTACTTGAACAGCATGCATACATTAGATGGTGAAATTTCATCAGATGAGGAAGATAAACATCATTTGCCAGTACACATTCACCTCAGCAAGGACTAAGATTTAGAGCTACAGGAGGTTTAAACCCCCTGTAGAGGAAACTATATATTTACCTTCTTGGAAATTCTTTTGAAATGCTTTGTTTTCCTGTTACAGATCGTATCTGATTTTGATTATTCATTCTATGCAAACACATCTATTTTTCAGTCACTTCAGACGTGATGAGTACACAGTGAGTATCCTAGGAGTAATTAAACATTACAAAGCATGGAAAGAAATCTCCAATAAAAAAGAAAACTTGCAGGGAAGTATTTATAAGAGGGTTTAATTTGAACAAGGATACTTAATATCCAGAATTAAATTTGAATATTACAAAAAAATATACCAAGCAGTTAAAAATAATGAGAATATCAACAAATGTGTAGAGAATACATTTTCCCACTTTGGGATAAGAAGACAAATTCAAAAACTAAGGGCAAAAATCTTGCAAATTTTAAGCCAACTGGGATTCTAACTATTATTGCCATTCCTCATGGCAAAAGTATTTCATAAAATTCAGCTTCTATGTTAATTAATTTCATAACAAAAACCTTCATAATAATAAAATCCATAGCTGCATTAAAATATATATTTCATTTGTAATAACAATGTTTATAATTTGTATAGTTACATAAAACTGTTCTGGAAAAGACTTCGTGGAATGTATATTTTGCAAACAAGATTTATTATAAAACACATAATGGAGTTTGTTTTAGTCATACTATAATAATAACAGGGCAAATTGTGTTAACCAACTGCACTAGAACTAGAACTCCAGTTACTTGTACCTATCAGTGGTATGACATTAATCTTAGATGGTGAAGGGAGAACACCAGCCTTCTCATAAGTAAGTCCTGCAGGCTCCAGGTTGGCTCAGCTTAAAGGCTGCTCTGCTGAAAGGCCAGATGTGGGGCTAGAGAAGAAGACAGTAAAATGGTAGATATCAGAAAATAACAAAGCAGCTTGCAGAGGAAGTACTGGAAATTCTCTTATTGAGGGCTATATAAACAGACATTTCCATCTCTCCTTACTTCCTGGTTGGAACCCAGTTCATTTGTCAGGCAGTTCCTCTAATGCAGGGGTGTCAAACTCAATTTCATTGAGGGCTGCATCAGGGCTGTGGTTGACCTCAGGGGGCAGGGCGGGCCCCTCAACTGTGTGGGTGTGGTCAACTGGGTGGGCGTGGCCATCTTGATGCCACTCCCCAAACTGCTGGTATGTTTCCTCTTTGCATTGGGTAGACTGGGCCAAAGCTACACTGGCCTGATCTTTCCTCTTTGCATTAGGTAAACCGGGCCAAAGCTACTCTGACCCAATCTTTGTTCTTTGCACTGGGTAGGCTGGGCTGAAGCTACTCTGGCCTGATCTCTCCTCTTCACATTGGGTAGACCAGGACAGCCCTGTGGGCCTGATCTGACCACATCTGGCCTGCGGGCCTTGAGTTTGACACCCCTGCCAGTGGTGGATTGCCCCTGGTTCACACCGGTTCTATAGAACTGGTAGTAAAACCAGCGGGAGGCTCTGCCCACCGACCCTGATGCCATCAAAACACTTCTGTGCATGCGCAAAAGCACGCGTGCGCGCGTGGCCCCGCTGCGAACCGGTAGTAAAGGTAACTAGAACCCACCCTTGACCCCTGCTGTAATATAGTGTTTCTTAACCTTGGCAACTTTAAGCTACGTGGACTTCAACTCCCAGAATTCCCCAGCAACACTAGCTTGGAAATTCTTGAAGTCCATCTAGTCTGCCAAGGTTGACAAACACTGCTCTATTGGAATTCCTTGCTTAGAGGTAAGGAAGGAGGCAGTCTTCCCAAGTGAGGAATTATCTGTTTGCTGTGGGTGCCCATTCAATCTGGTGGTGGAAAGGAAAATAACAAGTCTCCAGTTACTGCTGCTTATCCCATTTGTCTTCCTTGCTTTGAATATTTTGTTTGAGAATTTTTCTTTAGCATGCTTGGCTTGGACTGTTGACACACCAAAGAGTGGAGAAAGAGGAGAGAGAGAACAAACTGTAGCAGGTTTTCTTCATCTTTGGAGTCCAAAGAGTCTCATGAGTCAGCTCTCTGTCTACAAGAGGCTTTGCCACATCTGGATAATCACTTTTTTGTTTCTGCCATGTCCTCATAATGTTGACTTGGTCTTTGTCCCAAAACATACCTTTTTTAAGATTTGGGGCCATCTGTTCCGTACAGGACATTGGGCAGCAATTGTTCTTCAATAATTTTGATCTGCCAATCTTGTTGAATTGTACTTGTTGCAATAGCAAAGGGATTTTTTTAAAAAACAGGGGTGGATTGCTAAGGTTGGCAATGACAGAAACCATACCTGAAGCAACTTTAAGACATCCTTTAAAGATTCTAGCTTTAATAGAATGGAGGAAAATAAATTTTATGTTCAACAGAGAAGATTGGTAAAGATGTTTTATCATGGATATATGTTAATTCTCTAAAATTGCTAAAAAAGCTACTGAATATTTTTTTTTAATATTTGGTGTCCATGTTGTGAATTTCAACATTTCTGGAAAAGGATTTGTACTAGAATGAAACAAAATTTAACAGCTGAATTCCCATTTTAACCTGAAGTAGTTTTATTAAAGTTTACTAAAACATATATTTCCCCTAGCTATACTGAATTAGCTTTGTATATGTTAACACAAGGGTATTATGTTTCTCACAGAAAAGGATGTCTAATTCCCTTTTAACCAACATACTTCAATATGCAAAATAATTTTAAATTGACAAACATTTAATTAAAATAGGACACCAACTCTGGTCTATAACTCAATAGAATTTTATACAATAAAATTTGAGTTTTTCTATGTATACAGTCAATATTTCAGTCCTATGGGATATTTAAAGTAAAACAGATTTTTAAATTTGATTGAATATATTGTCATTTATGATTTTATTTGGTGATTTATACTTGTTGATCATTGTTCTTAATTATCCTTGCTTGAAGCTTAATTATGATTTTAGTCATTTTTAAATGATATATTCAATCATTCAAAATTAATTTATACCAGGAAACTACTATCTCTTTGATATTTTAGATCCCTTGTTCATTTTGCTTTACTCTTTTATTCTCTTTGTGTGTTTTTTTATGTATATTTTTTCCTCAAAAACTTAATAAGTGGGGGGGGGAATCAAGATTATAGTTTTAAAGAGCTTTCCCTCTTCTTCCAGCTCAGATTTTGCAGTGGATTTGATCTGCGCGCTTCACTGATTCTTTGGCAGCTGATGCAGCCCAGCTTTTATCGGACACAGACCTCCACTAACATTTTGGCTTGCATAAAAAGGAGGGATAATACTTATCTGCTTGTGTCATGCCATCTGGTATATTCCATAAGATATAGCATATCCTACACGAGCACCTTATAAATACCAGTATTTATAAAAGCTCTGTACCTAGTTTCAGTAATACATGATCTGATAGGTAGTAGTTATCAAGAGCAATGGAAAGCTTTTTGCTCTGCCAGTTCCAGTCCCTTAGTAGTTGCCCCTTGTTTGCTAGGCAACTTGTCAAGTACATAAAACCACCATTTTAAGCATCTGCCTACATTCACCTAACCCTGCCGCAGCTGTTAGAAAGTGTTTGAGTGATTGATAGTTTCATCTCCACTAGCAGATGACAATTGGCAGGAAGAAAAAGATGCCAGGAAAATCAACTAATCCCTTTCTTTAAAATGCCTTACAACAAATCAGTAAGAATAGAACCATCCACTGACTTGGTTGTAGCAGAAGAGACATCAGCAGTGGGGGCCCGCACAATTTATACCACCATTTTTTTCAATCAGCTCAAGGATTGATGGTTAGCACGTCAGCTCTGTCTTGAGAAACGGCTGTGCAAAATATCTTATTAGGACAAAGAATCACTTGGAACTTTTAGCTTAGCAGTTATCCAAATATGTCCTTTTTAAAATTAGAAATAGCAAGTCCTTTACAACAAATACCTTATTATTATAGCAATAACAATAGCACTTATATACTGCTCCGTAGTGCTTTTACAGTCCTAAGTGAGCATGTTGCCCCCAACAATCTGGGTCCTCAAGGATGTAAAGCTGAGTTAACCATGAGCCCAGATGAAACTCCTGGCAGTGGGCAGAGTTAGCTTGCAATACTGCATTCTAACCACTGCACCACTATGTCTTCTATGATTATGGTTAGTGACAGTCAGCCAGATATTTACACTGAATTTGGCATTTTTGTCCATCTATCATCATGTCCTTCTTAAAAATGTGGAATTGCCAGGTGTTGATGTTCAATAATACCAATGCTGTTGTCACAGAACGTAAACTGTTCTGAATCAAGATGCCTTTTGCAATTGACTGGTGGTGATTTTTTCAATGCCAATGGTGTTCAATGGTGCTTCCAACATTTTGGGATTGCATTCAAGACACCTATTATCATTGATACTATCAGTGCTTTATTTTGCCACAGTCATTCTAATTCAATTTGCATGTCTTTGTATTTTGTAATTTTTCTCCAGTTCTTTTTCTTCTATACTGCTGTCTTCAGGTACGATCAGATTATCTAGATTTTTTTTCTTATCTTTCTTTTCAACAACTTGTTAAATCTGGGGTGCTATGTGGCAGGTTGTCTGGGTTCTAAACTCCCAGAGCACTTTAGTTCTTCATTTTCTATTATTTTGGCTATTTCGTGGTCTTACCAGTTCTTGTTTGCAGGCAAATGGTATTGACTGATGATGCAAAGTAGAATCATATCATGCATATATGGCTAGGAATAAGATTCACTCCTTTAGGAAGTGAGAAATTGGGGTGTTCCCTTTTTTAATCTGCAGTTCCCATATGCTTATTCCCTAAACTAACTCACTGATATTTTGGCAACTATGGTTGATGGGGTCCTTTAAGGGATTTAATTTTGCCAAACCCACCAGATAAAGTCAAAAGTAAAATAGAATGATTAACTTAATGCTTAGATATGAATATTGTTCTTTTTTAGATAAGTGTGTTATATTAAGTTCTTGCAGGCTTTGGTCTCTATGTTTGTTCAAATCAAAGGACATATCAATATTCTGAAAGGGCAATTGGACATGTCTCTGTGAGTTCTCTTTCAGCAAGCATATCTCACTATTTTATTCTATGCACAAGATTACCTTCAAATACAAAGCAAATAAAATACCCTGAAAGAAAAAAAAATTTTTTTTCTTTCTTCTCTGAGATTCTTCTTATAGAAAAGTTTTGCAGAAGTGGTATTTTTTTACTGGAATGTTAAGGACCAAATCTTGGATCTTCCAGTGTAAAAAGTGCTGTGGGTTGCTGTGCGTTTTCTTTTTTTTAAGAAAAAAAACTTGCATGTTCTATTATATAACATTTCTCTACTCTTCTAGAACAATAGAAACAATAGAAACAGGAGTACAGGTCAAAAATTCAAGTATAAATTATCCTAAAAAAATTTTTTTTTCATCAGCTAGGACAAGTATACTCTCAGTTCTTTAGTAAAAACAAGATAAGACTTAGATTTGCAGTACTGTAAAGCCAACTCTAAGTAATTGTCATGTATCCATATAAAATGTGACTATTTTAAAATTTGATTTCATGCTACAGGTAGTCCTCGACTTACGACCACAATTAAGCCCAAATTTTCCTTTGCTAAGCAAGGCAGTTGTTAAGTGAGTCATGCCCCATTTCACAACCTTTTTTTTTGCTACACTTGTTAAGTGAATCATTAGGCTTTAAATGGATCATGTGGTTATTAATCTTTTGATCTGGCTTCCCCCATTGACTCTGCTTGTCAGAAGCTTCCTAGGTACAGTTGCAAATGACAATCACAAGGCCCTGAGATGCAGCAACCACTGTAAAGACATGGTGGTTGCCAAGCAACCGAAATCTGATCACGTGACTGTGGGGATGTGTAAAAACTGCTCATAAGTCTCTTTTTTCAATTACGTAACTCTGAACCATCATTAAACAAATGGTTGTAAGTTGAGGACTACCTGTATATTTTTAGTCACTTTAAGGAACAATTTTCCATTCAGAAAACTTTGAATTAGATTTAAAGTTCACTTGGGAGGTTTGCCCCATTCTTTAGTCCATTCTCATCATTCTTCAAAGGAGCTGTTTCATTAACATCTTGGATTTTTTCTACTGCTTTTAAGTTTCCTTCATCCTTTTCTGTCCTTGCATCCTCATGATCTTTCTTTTCTCCGTCTTCCTTCACCTTTTTCTTCTCTTCTTTTGCAAGCATTCTGTAGTTGTAGTAATTCATAATGAAGAGGAATGTCCCAGCCAAGACCATCACTGCCCCGCATTTAATGAACATGTATTTGTAGTCTCCAAAGGTGTCAATCAGAGTACCTGTGAATGGAGAAATGACATCTTAATTATTAGTGATGCTTACTGATCAAAATAGAATAAGGCAAATTTTGAATCTAGATTGCTAAAATGGTTAGAGAAAATGGCATCTATTCAATCCCACAATTAAGGATGGGCTTTACTTAAAATAAGAAATCTCAGCAAATCCTAAACTAATTTTGAATCAATATTTTGCCAACTTTTTCACTTGCGGTACATGCATTTCATCCTCCAAATTAATTTGCAATCATGGTTTCCTTTGACCATTTTCTTGACCTTGAGATACTGTGCATTTAATAACCACCATGGCGACAATTTATTGAAAGCATGGTACTTAATTATTCTAACGTCTAATCAAACAAACCATACATTTTGTAACAAAGATGAGATGCTTCCAGCTTGGGTGGATAAAAATACTGCAGCAAGGAACAACATAGCCCACCTTCATGCTTTAATATGGTGGCATTAGCAAAAACATCAAACAGAGGCTAATTGCAGCTATTCTCAATCTCTGCTAATCAGGATGACCTTAAGATCTGCAAAATACATTTCAATGAGAGTTTTAATGAGAAGAGTACTGGAAAATTCAACAGTAGAAGAGTATTTCCACCTCCTCCTTTGAGAATAAGAGAAAGTCATAAAACACACCAGGAAAAATTACTTAGTCCATTAAAGTAAAACCCACTAGTAGGTTGTTAAATGCCAAAGAACCAATCAATTTACCACTTATTAAATAGGGAGCAACATACTGAACTCATATCGCAAACTATTATAAAGCACTTTCTAGCCTCATTAACAGTCTTCAACAATTAGCCCTAATCTGCTTCTTAAAACTGCATACTGAAGAAAACATGCATGCTGACCTCTCACTCTAAGAAAGAAGCCAAGTCCTCGCATTAAAGAAAGGATAATTGAATAATAAATATTTTTTGTAAAACCATTGAAATCTGAGGTTCCTTTTCACTTTTTTGACAATTAATGGTCATCTGGTATAAATTGAAGTATCATCATCCACTAAACATCTGTATTTCAATTATTCTCTCATTTACACCACATGCATTTAAGGGTACAGCTTTTTGTCCAAAGCCATTTTAGTTCCACTAGAGTCAACAGGGTTAAATCAAATTAAATCCTGTGGAGCAATTATTTTCTTAACAGCAAACCGCAATAACTTAATATAGATTGCAGTCATTTTGAACCTGCCACACATGGTCCTTAACTTCCTCGATTCAATAATACTGTTCTTCTAAAATAGAAACAACAGATATTTCCTATATCTAGATTTAAAATCTAGCTAAATCATCCTAAAATAAATCAAAAGGAAATGGGCACATAAAAGCTGTTAAGCAGTGGATTCTCTCTTGCTGGCAGTTTTCAGATAGGGATGGCTTTCAGGAATGATTTAATGGATTCCTGCAATGACCAGAGAATCAGATAAGCTGATCTGTAACTCAAACATTCTATGGTTCTAAAGTGATGCTGTTACCAGCAGTGATCCCCAAGGATTTATTAAGAAAATTAAACATTTACCTTTGATGCACCTGGCTGCATCCATTTCAACTTATCTTAGCAATATCCTCTGATAAAGATTTCAAATGTTTTATGAAATTGCTAAACGTGTATTAAACATATGTCTTCAGCATATGAACAGTATTGCTATAAATATTCACATATTTATTTGAAAGGCGCCCCAGGACATGTTATCAGTGAGATAGAAGGCATCTCACTGTAATCAATAAAAATAAATGAAGTGTAAAGATCTGAATGATTACTAGATGGTCATGAATAATTAGAACTATCCATGTATTTTAATGTCATCCAATGATCATCTGGATTTTTGCAGTTCAGATGGTAAACTATGTCTGTGCAGTCCTAATCCAATGCCTTAGCTATCTGAAGACTGGTTTTTTCTTGACTGCTGCTGGTTTTAATCTTATGACCACTGTTTATTTTTATATTTTGCCTGTTTAACTTTATATTAAGAATAATTAACTACTCAGCAGTACAGAAATGTAATGAATGAACTGAGATCCTATTTATACATTTACTAAAGGAAATTACATGAATATATTATGTTAATCTTTATCCAAAATCTAACTATTAAACTTGCCAGCAAAGAAATTTGAAGTTTTGCAAGGCACAGAACATTTAGTTAGCAAGGTTCATCTAAACTGATTTTTAAGCAGCCTTTAGGTAGTTTTAACAGTTTAGTTCTGCAACATCCATTTTAATGAATGAAAATTCCAAGGGAATGAATTTTCTTGCTGAGTGATAGTTTTATTCCTTGAGGCATACTTCGGATGAACCTAAATGAAATTTGAAAACTTCAGAGAATGTGGAATTGATCAGGACAGTGCAGAATCAAAAAATCAGATTTTAAGAGTAGGAGGGGAAGCGTTAACATCTAATGCTTCTTCCTTGAAATTAAAAGTAATGATTTTTTTAAATTGTTGAGCAGACTAATGGGAAAAAAAGAGTATAAATGTTCTTACCCCCAATAGGTGGCCCAAGTAATATGGTGCAACATTCCACTATAGTGACTAGTCCTACAGCACTCGTGAAACGGCTGGCGCCAACAAGATCCATGAGAGTTTCGAAGAGCATTGCACAAACCATACCAAAGGCCAGGCCAAAAAAGATAGAATAGATGACTAAGCCCATGTAACTTGTTGCCAATGGGCACAGCAGGTGGCAAACGCCATTAAAAGCTATGGAGAAGCTGAAAAAATACTGAATCCTTGGCCGCACCCATTTGCTATTTGCAATGATCCCAGTAGCTGGCCTGGCTATCATGTCAACTATTGCTAGAATGGAAAGGAGAAAAGCTGCTGAATATTCATCAATCCCACGGTGCTTTGCATAAGGAGCCAAAAAGACAATCGGTGCAAAAAATCCTAAAAACATCAGCACGTTCCCTATCAGATAGATCAGGAAGCCTCTGTGTTTAAAAAGCGAAAAGTCAAGGAACTTGTTGATGTTTTCACAACAATCTCTGTCTTCCTTTGTTTCCATATCCTTGTCCCCCATTTCGTCAATGCCTCCATCAGGTTTTTCTCTTGCGTCCTCTTTTGCATCTTTGTTTTTTTGCCTCTTGGGTGTTGGTCCAATTGGTCTGAAAAGGGCTCCAGCTACGCAGCAGTTCAGCAGAATTGCCCCAAGAATAAAAAAGCTCCCCCTCCATCCAAAAGTGTCAAAAAGGAACTGGTTCAAGGGTGCAAGGGTGCAAAGCATGACAGGACTTCCTGCCATGGCAAGTCCATTTGCAATGGGACGTCTTTTCAGGAAATACTTCCCAATGATTATTACTGAAGGCTGGAGGTTCAGGGCAAGACCAAGTCCTGTAATGAGAGAATAAAAAAGAGGAATGTTACCTCATTAGACTAAAAAAACATGTTCTATTATCATAGAGACTAATCAATTAAAGGGAGTTCCAAATAGTTCAGTGGCAGGAGCATATTACTAAATTTACTTTGCCCCAACTCAAGATTCCTTAGTGGTCTACATGTTTTGAAATTACGGATCCCAAAAATCCACTCAGCATCACCAGGTCTTGGAAGGTTGGCCCATTTACAGGTCAGATATTTTCTAAAACTCATCTGCGTGAAAACTGATGTGCAGATTTATTTTTAATAAACTTTTCAGAAGTAAACAATAGGTTTGCTAACAAAATCTGTAACCAGAATCTATACGCAGCAGTATTTTGGACAGCCCTATCTGAAGAATAAACTGCTGTGAAAAGGGCATTATTTTAAAGTCATCATGACAAGAGCCAGAAATACATATAAGCGGACGAACATTTTATAGGAGAAGGTTCTTGACTGTGCTTTGAAAACAAAGGAAATCGTATCTATTTTCTGGCTCTATTATAAATCATGACCAGCATGTGAAATAAAGAGGTCTGGCAGCTATTCTTGCTCTTTATACCACATTTCTGAACTTGTTCTGAAAAAAAGTAAAGATATTGTCATAGAGGATTTTGAGGACATGGTAGCCAGGAAATTAAATAAATTTTATAACTTCTTTTAAACGAGAATAGTCTGTTCTTGATGACACTTTATGCTTTGGTGCCACTGAATACTAAGTGCTTTTTTTTTTTTTTTAATTTTACATTTATGCTGCTTTTCTAGGAACAGCCCCAAATAACATACCAATAAGGACAACAAACTGATGAAGGGAATGATGGAATTCTCTACCACCTACAATTCGCCCGAACCTATTCATGAACATATATGCCAAAGTGTTCATTCCACCAAAGTAAATCTTGAAGGAAAAAGGGGGCTCTGGAGAATTATATGTATGTTTTTGGTTCTGATTCTTGTTTGACTCTTGAGAGTCTTCTCTTGGGCTTTTGGCAAAGTGGCTTAATACAGTATGTGATCATAAGAGCTCAATATTACTATAGCAATGCCTCAGTATACAACACTATGGTCAGAATGTGGCACCATGGTCATAAATGAAAACCACCAGGTATCTCTGGGGTCTTCTCTTGGGACATATAACTTCTGTAAACTGGGCTGTGGTGGCGCCAGTGGTTAGAATGCAGTATTGCAGTTTAATTAAGATCACTGCCAGGAGTTCGATCCTTACCAGCTCAAGGTTGACTCAGCCTTCCATCCTCATGAGGTCAGTAAAATGAGGACCCAGATTGTTGCGGGCAATATGCTGACTCTGTAAATCGCTTAGAGAGGGCGGTAAAGCACTGTGAAGAGGTATATAAGTGCTATTGCTCTAGAAAAGAAAAAAATTACCTGTGATGAATCCAGCACAAATGTATAGTTGAAAAATGCTGGTGCAGAATGCTGCTGAAACCATTCCTATGCCACATAGTAGCCCTCCAAATATGACCACCGGCCGGCTACCAAAACGATTCACCAAAATACTGCTAAGGGGACCTTTAAAAAATGAAGGGGGTGGGGAGAGGAGAGAATGAATCATTTTTATAAATATGTCTCTAATGTGACATACTTTAAACATTGATAGGTTTGACAGATAGGTTCTTAAATTCATGAATCAGAATAAGCATTAATTAAGGTGTAGGAATGTCTCCCAGCTGAGTAGGAGAAGAAAGATGCTTGTACAAAGTCTGTCAAAAATTGTCATTTTTGGAAACATTTGTTTATGTACCTGGCTAATCCAACCACTAGCCATAGCATTTGAAAAGAGAAGGTCACATCTGACAAAGGAACATCTAGAAAGAAATTGGAGGGAAAGGAGAGCAGAGGAAAATGGGAAAGCACAGGTTGCTTAGCAGTAAGTATCATTATCGTATGATGCATGAATAGTATGAAGGAGAGGGAGGGAGGGAGGGAGGGAGAGAGAGAGAGAGAGAGAGAGAGAGAGGGAGGGAGAGAGAGAGAGAATTGTGTCAGACCAACAGTTTTTTCATAGGTTCATGACATTCAGTCTTTCTATTTCAAATGCAGTCAGAACTCATCTTTCCATTTGTAGGCCAGAACAAGATATATGGGTAAAGACATGAATTCAGTGCTGTTTTTTTTTCATTAGGGCTCAGTACCTGAACTGCAAAACTCTAGATGATTATAAATGGTAATACACCATTTCTTTGCTGACAGCTAGTGATTGCCTGGGTTTTTAAAGGTCAGATCTGATAGCCATAACAGAGTATTGCCAGGAGGTTAGCGCAAAACATAAGATAACATGGAAACTATCATAATTCATTATAGAAACACAAGTATGTTTTATCACGAAGATAATACAATGTTTACTAGCAGATTGCTAGATGCATTAGTCTACCAAAATGAAAACAATTGACATTAAACTCTAACCGATCTTTTATGATATACATTTATATGTAATAGAGATGCAAAAATGGATGGATGGATAGAGATTATATCCATAAATATACAGAAAAAAAATGTTAAAAGTGGAGACAAAACACGTGAAATGTAAGACACCCTGTTCGAATTTCTTTCAAAGCTCAAATGTGATTTGGAAATATGCAGTGACAAACTATAACAGCAAAACCTAACAAATGCTAGGAAGATGATATTATGACCATTTAACATTCACTTACCTTTGGTGCATGTATTTTTATATAGAAACGGCATAGACAAAATCTGAATGTTCTGGCTTTGTGACTTCATTGAGCTCACTCGTGCACTTCTAACCATATCAAATCAATGCCCTGCTAATTGTTTATGAGGATATAGCCTGAAGATGCAGATTTTTTTCTTGGCCCGCCCTACAGTTAATTTAGTGTTTTCTGTAGCTGTTCCTGTAGCTGTTCCTCTTTTCTACTTATGCTTTTCTGTTTTCCCAACACAAGTTTTACTCATATGAATGGCTTCAGTCAGGATTCAATCCTGGGCTTCATAGTTACTACACGAGTCTAACATACTTCTGAAAGAGCATTAGATTATCTGGATTCTTTTCAATCAGGATTCAGACCTGGGTATGCAATTGAATTGATGACAGATAATAATCAGACCAACCAAAAATCAGAATATCCTACTTTTCATCCAACCCAAGAACTGGAGGAGTGAACATTCATGAAGCTATGAGAAAAGCCCTTTATGTAGACTTTTTATTTCTAATAAATAGCTCTATATATAAAATCTACCAACTGAAAGGATATATTTAAAATATCTGTTGATGATTTCAGGCTAAACTGGATGGAAGGCACCATACGATTCTTTAATTTTAATTGCTATTTTAAGATTTTTTTATTTTGGGGGGGAAATATTGGAATTTGATAAAGAGTTGGTTGGAAGAAATTTTGTTAATAATTAAGTCAATTAATTATTTAATTAATTGACTTAATTAAGTCAAACCGGAATTTTTCCTTTTGGGAATGACAGAGGGCAAATATAAGAAAGACATAAATTATCTATTACTGCATATACTTACAGCGGCACGGATAGCCTTTACTCAGAAGTGGAAAGAAAAAGACACCCCAACTGAAGAGGAAAAACTAGTAAAAATTTTCAACTGCGTGGGACTGGATAGACTCACCTTGGAACTCAAGGATAAAAGTGAAACATTGTACTATAAAATCTGGGCAAAATTCTACAAATGGTTAGATAAAAGGAGGATAGCCGAGACAAATGTGTAGTGTTAGACTGGAAACATATATGTTATTATAGATAAATATGTATGTGAATTGAATAGATAAGTATATGTAGGTATAGATCAGCGGTGAGTTCTATTCACCTTTACTACCGGTTCGCAATGGGGCCGCGCGAGCGCTCGCTTCGCTCGCTCACTCGCTCTTCTGCGCATGCGCAGATCTGTTCTGATGATGTCAGGGTCGGTGGGTGGAGCCTCCCTCCGGTTTTAATACTGGTTCTATAGAACCAGTCCGAACCAGGGGCAACCCACCACTGGTGTAGATATGTATAATGGTATAGGAATAAGGTATAAATTATTATTATTATTATTATTATACTATGTTTAAATAATGTATAAGGTCTAAGGAATATATTATTATATTATCATTAGTATATATAATATATTAGTTTAAAGTGTTGGAAGATGCTTGGGACCAGTGATGTCATATCTATGTCCAATGTTTTTAATTTTGAATTACTAATAAAAATCTTTTTTAAAAAAAAAAAAATTTGGGGGGGGGAAATGAATTAGCGTTCTTACTCTTATGGTTCTATGTAAGAGAATTTATACCCTCGGATTATATTTTGGATTGTCCTTCATTGTATAATCTCTGCTAAGTGTCCCCTTACTTTTTATGAAAGCCTTTAAAAGGTGTTTAAATGTCTGCTTCTTAATTAAGAAAGAAAGGTGAGAAAGAAAGTAGAAGAAACAGCTGGCAAGGATCTTCTGCTATACTCATAAAGCTGCTCTTTACTTGTCTTGACCTTGCTGAGGAAGTGATGGTTGTGTTGATAGGTTCCCATGAAACATTTCAGAGCTGAGGAAGTGGCCTCAGAGGTTTAGTCAACAGCTGCTGGAAGTTTTATCAATATGGCCTGCAGCTTTTAAAAAAATGGGAGGAAGGGAAACCACCCGAGAACAATCATTACTAGTTGCTATGTGGAGTCAAACAAACAAATGCCTGGCTCCTTATAATAGGGAGCTTGGAAGACTCTGCCTTGACCCTTCTATCTATTAAGGACAGCTGTCTGCCTGACTTGATGAACCAAACACAGGATTTTAAGAACAAATATCTCAGCGATCAAATTAGACCAATTATTTTCTTTTAGTCTCCAACCCAAGCGGGGAAAAACAATTATGTATGCAACTTTGGCAATCTTCCAAATGCTGTCCATTATTTTCTACATATTTTATGCATCATCTCTCTGCAGACAAAAGAGTTGGGGGAAAACCACAGAAAATAAAAACAGGATTCTGATTTTTATGCTGCAATTAAATTATGAACCAGAAATTACCAAGAGGAGACACAGTCCAGGGATAGACTTCACAATTTTCATATGAAGTCTGTGTATACAAACAAATATACATCAACTACATTTTAGACTAATGCCTTACATCAGGGGTGTCAAACTCGCGATGACACATCATCACATGACGTATCGCAACTTTTTCCCCTTCGCTAAAATGATGGGCGTGGCCAGTGTGTGACGCATCAGGCCCACAGCCCACGAGTTTGACAGCCCTGCTTTATATGAACCCAGCCAATATGATTTGGGATTGAATAAACCAAAGTTACAAAACGTGACAAACTTGATCCACTGGAGAAGGAAATGGCAACCCACTCCAGTATCTTTGCCATGAAAACCCCATGGACAGTACCAGAAGGCAAAAAGATATGATGCTGGAAGATGAGCCCCTCAGGTCGGAAGGTGTCCAATATGCTACTGAGGAAGAGCAGAGGGCTAATACTAGTAGTGCCAGAAAGACCGAAGTGACTGGGCCAAAGCCAAAAGGACGCTCAGCTGTGGATGTACCTGGTGGTGAAAGGAAAGTCCAATGCTGTAAAGAGCTATATTGAGGGCAAAAGAAGAGGATGACAGAGAATGAGATGGCTGGATGGAGTCACTGAAGCAGTAGGTGTGAGCTTAAATGGACTCCAGAGGATGGTAGACGACAGGAAGGCCTGGAGGAACGTTGTCCATGGGGTCGCGATGGGTCGGACACGACTTCGCAACTAACAACAACAAACCAAAGTAATAACGGTGTTACAAAAACTTAAATTGTTGGTAGAAGCAAATGAGTAGAACAACCGAAGTTTGACCATAGAGAATAATGAGTATGTGTAAGAAGGTGAAGAAATGTCTTGTCTAATGTCAATTTTGACATTAGTCAAGAACCAGAGATAAGAATGTTATCTGCCATGTAGCTTGCAAGGCACATTTGACCTAGTAACCTAATGTTCAACAAAAGGACAGCTTTTGTGATGATGAACTACAGTTGACAAAGAATGTAAAGGAAGGTGGAACAGGTCAAAAACTCCTAATACATGCACACGACTATGTATACAGGGCACTCTTGTCTTTCCCAGTCCCTGTACATCACTTAATCAGAGTAGAGTGAGGCAAGTGAATATAAATGTGTGAGTAATGCTTATGCAATTGTAAACTTTTGTAGGTTTATAAAAACCAGGAATAGGGGATGCTATGGCTTCTATACATATCCCTGGACTCTAGAAGATCTTTGTAATTCATTGAAGAACAACCAGAGCTATGGGAGGTAGTCCATATCTCTATTCCCATTGCTCCTGCATAAGAACATAAGCAGCGTCTTGCTGGATAGTCCAGCAGTCTGTTCTCATAGTGGCCAACCAACTGCACAGGAAGTCCACCAGTCTTCTAGTCACCCTGCATCAAGGTTAATAGCCATAGATCCCCAAGACTTGATCCAAATCTCTTTTGAAACCAGCCAAGCTGATACCCAGCATCACATCTAATGGTGGTGAATTCTAAAAATTAATTATGCGCACATTATATATGTGTGCGTATCTATATACCACAGTCATGTTTCTTCTAAGTCATTTCCTTTCTAAACAGGTTGGAAGAAGAGAGTGTTCCCACAACCTTGCAGGAATTGAATATATCTGCGTGGATGGCAGCCAATTGCTGTCTGGAACTTTTAGGGTATGTGTGAGAAGGTCTATTGATAAGAATCCAATTGAACTTCACCCACTATATTTTTATACCTTTGTCCTATGACATCATATAACAAGCCAAAGGGAATAATGCTTGGGGGGGGGGGAGAAATCAACATAGACCCCTAAATCAGGTATGTTCTACCTTGAAAAACAGTTTGAAATGATAAATTCTGGCTCTACAAACCAAACAAAATTAAGAAAAGTCCTTATGTTTATTACGGTGTGTTACTTCAAATGGCAGATAAAGTGTTAATGCTTGAAGACTGCCTAGATCAGGAAACAGATGCCACTGGAACAAGCTTCTTTTGAGAGAGAACATTACAGTGTTCTAGAAGTCTGGATGCGGGACAAGGGACTCAGTGGCTCAGTAGCTAAGATTCTGAGCTTGTTTGAAAGATCGGCAGTTCGGCACTTCAAATTCCTAGTGCTGCATAATGGGGTGGGCGCCCGTTACTTGTCCCAGCTTTTGCCAACCTAGCAGTTTGAAAGCACATAAAAAAATGCAAGTAGAAAAATAGGGACCACCTTTGGTGGGAAGGTAACAGCGTTCCGTCTTTGGCGTTTAGTCATGCCGGCCACATGACCATAGAGATGTCTTTGGACAGCGCTGGCTCTTCGGCTTTGAAACGGAGATGAGCACCACCCCCTAGAGTCAGGAATGACTAGCACATATGTGCAAGGGGAACCTTTACCTTTAGCTAGAAGTCTGCTTATACTGCATTGAGTCAGGGAGGATCCAACCTGAGTCTCTTCCTGATACTATCTCCTTTCCCAGGGCTGAAGGAATGTTTCTGCCCTTTTTGTTTCTGTAACAACTTCTGAGTATTCCCATCAAGGTTATCTCTATTGCTCTCTACAGTTAATGTCAATACAGATGGCAACCCTCGCTTTGTAGGGAATTTTCCCAAATATGAATGTGCCTATTATCAGAATAAGCTTCAAGCTGTAGATGAAAGATCATAATAGAATGTTACTACTACAGAGCATTCCTCTTTGAATTCTCAGGTATCACTTGGCCCTACTAAGCAAGTAGAAGCATGCATTTCATGAAAATATTGCTTAAGCAATTGTAATTAATAAAACACTTGAAGGTTATCTGTATTCTGGGTTCCCTTGAGTATTTTCATACTGCATAAACTCCTGAAGTTCAAATCTGTAACGATGGGTAAATGTGATGTGCACATATAGCCAAATGCTCTTAGAATAATATTTGGCATGTCCACCAAGGGAGGTTACAATGAGCCCTGCCTTGGATAAATGAATGAAGCTCAAGGGAGTATAAGGCAGCATCATATGCTCATTTTGGCTGGGTTCATACATCATGACAAGCCATCACTTGTTTTAATAATAGTATAATGAATACGCCACAAATGGCTGAATTCACACATCATGCTAAGCCAAAGTACACAGATGATTAATTGAAGAACAATTTTCCATTTGGGGAAAATAGTTATAGTTTTATAAATTCATTGTTTGAAAATATTTATTATTAGTTGCCCAGATTTTGTGGAAGCTGGTTGCATACAAATCTTTTAAATCAATATACTCTCAATGCTGCTACACCTGAGCATTTGCATTTCATTTTCATATTATTTAGTGAGCCAGTATGCTCTGACAATGGATCACAGAACTATGAGATGAGCCAAGAATCCATTCCTATGACAACAGAGATGACTTCCTGATGCATAAAACAATAATATGGTGTTTCTCAAGTGCCATTTACAATATTGCCCTAAACAGGACTTCCCTTCCATGCCATTAGTAGAGGAATAGGACTGACTTTGAGAGTTTAGAATTTGCCAGAGCAGGAATGATAGCTATTTTAGATACCAACTGACACTTGGCACCAAGTCTGAGAGATACAAAACAAAGGGGAGTTTATTAGGTCATAGAAACAGTAGGAAAAAGAAAAGCTAGATTTTTTAGAAATCATTGAAAACTCCTACTGACAGTGAGCAATTAGTTGCTTAAAATGGCTTTCTTATCTAGTTTATTTAACTTTGCTGTGTTCAGAGAACTTTTTCCAATTTGTTCAGGGGCTTGAAACTTGGGTTACAATTCCATCTGATCTTCAAGGATTGGAGGACTCATCTCACCGTATCATTTGAGCTGTACATTCAAACGGAAGTTGTTTTAATAGAACTGTTCTTGATTTGGCACAGGGAAAACAGGAAGGACCTGTACTGCTTTAGAAATGGCACATGTAGCTTGTTTCACATCATTAATCTTGATTGATTTGGCACTGTAGCTTAATAAAGTGTTGTCATTCAGTAACTCACTCATCCACTGTTAAAACAGTTTGACTAAAACATTTTTAAATGGCTGCAAACCAGGGGGTAGCAATCTCTTAATGTATTTTTTTTTCTTGATGTATATTTTGAATCTATTCTTGAATCTGAGGAAAAACTATTACAAAATTAAGTACCCTTTGCTAATCCATTTTAAGTATTACCCAAGCAATTATGCAAACAACATCACTCTGGCCTCTCTTATAGACAAAGGTGAGTGAGAACAAAGTTTCTACAAAGATATTTGACCTGTGAATAAGTATACTGTAGCTGGAATGCCTTCTCTGTGTTTGCAAAAATCACTGATTCAGAAAAGAATCTCTGGTCAGCAGCTTCTAAGTCTCAGTGTTACGTTCCCCTCAGCTGATTCCATTACTGGGTTGTTGTTTTTTTAATCAGGGCAACCTGGTCTACCCAATTATGGGATGGAGCATACTGCTTCTGTTTTCACCTTTCAGCCCCAATCCAGGAACCTTCATAGGCAGTTGCTTTCGCGACAAACTATTTTTGTGTTAAATTTATGTTTTGCCAACAAAGAAATAAAGGGAGACTAGTATAGAGACTAGTATATGAGGTGGCTGGATGGAGTCACTGAAGCAGAAGGCGTGCGCTTAAATGGACACCAGAGGATGGTAGAGGACAGGAAGGCCTGGAGGAACGTTGTCCATGGGGTCGCGATGGGTTGGACATGACTTCGCAACTAACAACAACAAGTATAGATCTATTTCAAGCTATTTAGCTCTCATCAGCTAGCCATACCCTTCTGGAATCCCAGAATTCAACACATACATGCTACTCTAAAGGTCTTGAGAATAAAATGGTTACCAAATCTTAATAGAACACTAATAGTTAATTGCTGCTGAACTCCATTCTGGAACCTCAGATTAGTCTTGATGGCTCCTTGGCTGTTTGACTTGGATAGGCTTTGCTTCCTTGTCCAAATATTTATTATTTTATCTCTACCTATGTCAGCCTTCTTGGATAAGTCAGGCAGGAAAGACGAGTAGATGAGCCATATCTATTTTGTTGTAAGGCTACATTAACAGACTATTGCAAGTTTGAAAGTTCAAATGTCCTACTTGCCACATTTACTGTAATTGCTGGACCCATTAGGACGGACTTTCCTAAGTTTCGTTCTTTGACTGTTAAACCACTTGCGATTAAAACCTCCTGCCTCTCTTATCTGATCGTTTCCTAGGCAGCATCTCCTCTCTCCTTTCCTCAAAGTTATCTATGCATTCCATTACATCCTCTTTCGAATCATGCTTTCAACTTCACTCAAGGTTCTGCTTAAATTATTGACTCGGATTCATACATTACACTAAGTTGTAATGTGGGAGTTTTAATTACTTCCATCATAAATATTCTATCTTAGATAAAAGATTTGCATGGCTCCTTCCAGTTCCTGAACATGTTTGCAGTCTTCCGATTAAACTAATGCATTATTTAATTTACACCGTGTTTATATTTTGTAAACTATTTATTTACATTCTACTAAAATTATTGGAGCAAATATTATTGTATTAGCAGCTTTATCATATTGAACTCTCTTCTGGGTCCATACAACCCAATTTCTGTATTTGTGTATAATTGAATTTGTCTTTTGCCTGATCAGACTAAACGTGTTTCCAGCATTTGTATTTGATTTCTATCAAAAGGTTTTCCAGAGATGCATTCTGTTTAAGAAGTTACTAAAGAGTTGATGCAAGGATTGGTTTTAAGATATAATTCTTCCTCTGTCCAACTCCAATCTTCCTTGGTAATGAGATCATCATATGAAACTTCTTTGTGGGCAAGTCTCTACATAAGGTAGACTATTGCAATCATTTCTGTGAGCAGAATGGTACACTTGCCAGTCTCTGGAAATTCCAATAGAAGAGAATATATGTAGCTCAGGGTTGAACTGTGAAGTCCACAGTGCCCTCTGAGCTTGGTTGTTTCCTTGTAGACATTTCATTCCCTAATGTAGTCAGGGAATGAAACATCTGCAAGCAAATAATGAAGCTCAGAGGGCACCATGGAGAGTTCAACCTTAAAAAGAAATATTTCAAATATACTGCAGAACCTTACAAGAAACATATTATGTATTTTTTGTATTATGTTATGTAATCTTGTTATGACACGTATTATGTAATCTTGTGATCCATGTCTTGGCTGTTATAGGAGAAAGCTGGAACCCTATAGAACAGGGGTGTCAAACTGGCGGCCCATGGGCCGGATTCATGGCGCGCCTCCCACGCCCACCCCTGCTCTGCAAATGGGGAAAGTGTTGCGAAACGTCACGTGATGGCAACATGACACAGCAAGTTTGATAACTGTGGTATAGAAAATGTAATTTTCTTAAGAATGTAATTTATTTTGTTATACTAAATAAAATAGAAATAATAGAAATACACATACTGGTTTTTCCCCAAAGGAAATTCTTTCACCTTTGAGAGAGGTGGGGGGAGAGGAAGGGAAAGGGGAAGGGAGGGAGGGAGAGAAGGGGAGGGGGAGGGAGGGAGAGAGAGGGGGGAGAATGAAAGAATCCCTTTCTTATCTGTCTTTTTTCCTTCTTCTATAAAGATACTTGGCTACATTTCAGTATAACTTCTGGAAACAGTTCTTTTTCCTGCATCAAAATATATGAACATAAATAAACACATATAGCAGGCAGATAATGTTACCATGTATGGTGATGCCTGCTTCTCTTTACACAATAGTATCAGTCACCCCTACACAAAGGTAGCGTTATAGCTCTTTGCTTTAGCTTCTGTGTAAACTTTTAGGCTCCAGAGCACTTGCATATCACCAGCATCATGCCATTTATCTTCAATTTAAAGTCACTTAATCGTTATTAATAAGGTAGTATAATGTTTATATGAATAGGTAGAGCAGAAGTAACACACACGGTGATGTCACTGACAAGTTAATGAGCTACTGTCATCTCTTCATCACAGACAACGGAATAGCTAATAACAGTGGATGGATATTTTTTTCATCCAAAAATGTAAAAGCGAATGTTTCATTGGGAACTTGCTCAGGAACTAAAAACTGGTTTTAAGATGCTAATTTCTATGAATCTATGATTTCAGTGCTCTTTACTGATCTGCTTATCTACCGTGAGTTGCAACTACAATCTCAGGCTTTACTTATGTCTCAGCTAGAATAGGCTTCCTCTATCTGCCACTGCAATTTATAATAAACGTTGGGTAATAAAACTATACAGGTTTGAGTATATAGAAAATATTCAAGGCCAGTTACCTACTAAACGTCCTAAGTGTAGTGCAATGGCCTACAGGCCAGAGATTCACCAGTTGAGAAACTGCTGGCTGAAGAAAGGGTTTGTTAATATCACAGGGATAAAAAGAGCTTCATATTCCAGAGTTTAATCCAATACTTTCAAAGAATAAATAATGAAGGCCAGTAATTAGGATATCTGTACAGTGTCTCAGATTAACAATATTTCAAATACTTTGGTACATATGTGGGCATATTGAAGACATAGATATTAATTCTGTAAGCCATCTAGAATCACTTCATGGGAAGATGGGTGGCAGGCAAATTTAATTAATTAATTAATTGATTGATTGATTGATGAATTAATATGCTACGTTAGAGGTTTTCTGCTTGTCTGACTCAGACACATGAGGATTCATACCTATCAGGTATGAAGCAAGAGGAGATATAGTGGCAAATGTTGTCTATTAAAGCTCCCTTTCTGTGGGCAATCTGCACTCTGAAATTAGGACAACCCCACAGAGTTTTCCAAAAATTAGCAAAAACCAGTCCTTTTATCTGGCCCTGTAGTATGACTTGCAAAACCACTGTTGCTTATTTTACTGATATATTCATGTATTGTGATTGTTATGGTCTGCAACAAATTATATAGCTACAACTTTTCCCAAGACTATAGGCTGCCCTCCACTGCTGCTGCAAACCTTAGAAAAAATGGGTTTGGGGTAAGATGTTGCAGAGATGGATTCTATTTATATTCCTTTTTGTCGGAATCCAAAGCACAGCACAGTCCTAATAAAAGCACATTCCTAAAACACCTAAGTACTACTTTACAGGGAAAGTCTACAGTTTTATTTGAAAGTAGCCCTGGTCAACAAACATCATTAAGCTTGCTGTAGATTGAAACAAATGTATAGTTGATTTCAGAGGAACAGCAGGAACTTCAAAATCCCTACTTCCTCCCCATCAGCTGGGACTTGGGAGGCAGAGAATAGATGGGGCGGGGCCAGTCAGAATTTTTACTACCGCTTCTTCAAACTACTCAAAATTTCCGCTACCGGTTCTCCAGAACTGGTCAGAACCTGCTGGAGCCCACCTCTGGAAGAGGGGCAGAAAGATTCCTGGATAGGTGGACTAAGAGCAATGGGGATCAACCTCAGAGAGCTGCTTCTGGGAAATAAATGTGTCTGGGTCTCATCACTATGGAAGCCATTTTGAAAGCAGACAAGCCTATTCCATCACACTCCATTTTTGCCCCAGGCAGCCATTGTGTAATAACATTTAACCAGTGGAATAGTTTGCCTTCAGAAATTGTGGGTGCTCCATCATTGGGGGCCGGACCAGAAGACCGCCAACATCCCTTCCAACTCTATTCTATTCATTTCACTTCTCATTCAAGAAGCTTCTTCAATTCTGATTTAAGGGGAATGGAAGGATTTGCATTTTTACAGTCATCTGGTTGTTGGCACTCTGAGAATCAGTCATTAGCTCTCTGAGAGTTGTTGAGGTCACTTGGAGGTTTATTTGCATCCTCAAAGACACCTGAATCAGACTGCAAATAGGTATGAAACCTTCTTGGGACTGCTGAAAGGACTGTGTTGCAAACAGATGGTGTAATATCTCTCCCCCTCTGTTGAGGGAAGACTGTTCAATTTTGACATAGATGGCCTCTTATCCTTCCGTTTGAAACAGAAGAGTGTTAACGACCAGATGACTGCAAAGAATATAAATCCTTCCATTCCCCTCCAGTCAGTTAGAAGTGAAGAAGCTTCCTGGATAAGAAGCTAAATGTTTTAAATATTTATTTTTTAAAAAGTCTAGTTGTATTTTGGAAAAAACACCTTTGGGGCAACCATGACCTGGATGATTGAAAATGTCCATAGACATTGTAAAATAACATTCACAATGTATTCTTTAGATTCCAAACTTATAAACTAACTCTAAGAAAAAGGTTACCTGCCTTTTTCTAGGAACTAAAAGTAATTGTCTCATTTTAAGTAGCAAAACATTGAAGTGTATAATTTTTGAATTCAGGTTAACCTTCAAATTGCATGATTATAGTAAAGAGAATGCATATTTAATTATTCATGTATTAACTGCAGCTAGAATTGTATTTGCACAAAATTGGAAAAGTGAAGAGATCCCTACTGATGATAATGTGATTAGGAAAATATTAGAATGTGCAGAAATGAACAGATTAACGCTTGCAATTAAGGAGAAAGAACAAACTGAATATTATATAACTGTTCCACAGATAGCCGGATGTGAGTCCCTCTTTGTAAAGTGGGGTCATGGAGTACAGATGGGCTTGTTGGTCACGTACCTGGCTCCCTGCCATGTGGCAACGGCCCTGCCCAAGCTGCTTAACGTTATAGCCGAGGTGGCGGTGGACACCCCCAGACTTGTTATTATGGGGGATTTCAACCTGCCATCTATCGGTGAAACGTCTGAGGTGGCTCGAGAGTTCATGGCTTCCATGACGGCCATGGACCTTACTCAGTTAATTCATGACCCCACTCACACAGGGGGACACACTCTGGACTTAGTTTTTGTCTCTGGTCAGTGGTTGAGTGGCCTTGATATAGGGGATATAGCCATCGAACCCTTGTCATGGCCTGACCACTCGCTCCTTCGACTGGACTTTCTAACCGCTGCACCCCGCCGCAGGGAGGCGAAACCGACCAGGTGGTTCCGCCCCAGGCGCCTGATGGACCCTGATAGGTTCCAGATGGAGCTTGGGCCATTTCCTGAGACTCTGGCTCATGACTCGGCTGAAGACCTGGTGGCCGCCTGGGATAGTGCGGCTGCCGGGGCCTTGGACCGTGTCGTGCCTTTGCGGCCTCTGACCTGGCACTGAACTCACCTAGCTCCTTGGTTCTCCGAGGAGCTTAGGGAGATGAAGCGCCGGAAAAGACGCCTGGAGAGTAGTTGGAGGACCAGCCGCTCCGAATCCGACCGAACACTGGTGAGGTCGCATATTAAGACCTACCTAGTGGCGATAAAAGCGGCGAAATCTAGCTATTTTGCTGCTCTTATCGCGTCATCAGATAATCGCCCGGCCGCCCTGTTTAGGGTGACCCGCTCCCTCCTCCATCTGGAAGTGCGGGATGACCCCTTGCAGGGCCGAGCTGAGGACTTTGTGCAGTATCTGTATGACAAAATCGCTCAGATTCGGGAAGGGCTGGCCTCTGACTGGGTATGTCCGGACGGGATGACTGAGACAGGTCTTGAGAGTGTTATCTGGGGGGAGTTCGATCCTGTGGCTCCCGAGGACATGGACAGGGTCCTGGGACGGCTGAACGCAACCACATATTTATTGGACCCGTGCCCCTCCTGGTTGGTACTGGCTTCCCGGGAGGTGACACGAGGCTGGCTCCAGAAGATTGTTAACGCTTCTTTGAGTGAGGGGGTCCTGCCGGCCGCTTTGAAAGAAGCGGTTGTGAGGCCCCTCCTCAAGAAGCCCTCTCTGGATCCGGCTGTTTTGGCTAACTATCGTCCAGTCTCCAACCTTCGCTTTGTTGCGAAGGTTGTTGAGAGTGTGGTGGCGCAACAGCTTCCCCGGTACCTGGATGAAGCTGTCTATCTAGACCCGCTCCAGTCCGGCTTCCGGCCTGGGCACAGCACGGAAACGGCATTGGTCGCGTTGGTGGATGATCTCTGGAGGGCTCGGGATAGAGGTTGCTCCTCTATCCTGGTCCTGTTAGACCTCTCAGCAGCTTTTGATACCATCGACCATGGTATCATGTTGCACCGGTTGGCGGGGTTGGGGGTGGGGGGCACTGTTCTGCGGTGGTTCTCCTCCTACCTCTCTGACCGGTCGCAATCTGTGTTGACAGGGGGGCAGCGGTCGACCCCGAGGCACCTTGCTTGTGGGGTGCCACAAGGGTCGGTCCTCTCGCCCCTTCTGTTCAACATTTATGTAAAGCCGCTGGGTGAGATCATCCGTGGCTTCGGGGTGGAGTTCCATCAGTACGCTGATGACACCCAGCTGTACATCTCCACCCCAGGCCACCCCAACGATGCCCTTGAAGTGATGTCCCAGTGCCTGGAGGCCGTGCGGGCCTGGATGGGGTGAAACAGGCTCCGACTCAACCCCTCCAAGACCGAGTGGCTGTGGCTTCCGGCGTCCCGATATAGCCAGCTGATGCCATCGCTGGCTATTGGGGGCGAATCACTCGC